TTTCTATTCGAGTGGCTGGAGGATGCGTGCAGTAGTTTGTATTCGAGTGGACGGAGGCTGCTTACAGTAGTTTCTATTCGAGTGGCTGGAGGATGCGTGCAGTAGTTTGTATTCGAGTGGCTGGAGGCTGCGTGCAGTAGTTTCTATTCGAGTGGCTGGAGGATGCGTGCAGTAGTTTGTATTCGAGTGGACGGAGGCTGCTTGCAGTAGTTTCTATTCGAGTGGCTGGAGGATGCGTGCAGTAGTTTGTATTCGAGTGGCTGGAGGCTGCTTGCAGTAGTTTCTATTCGAGTGGCTGGAGGATGCGTGCAGTAGTTTGTATTTGCGTGGCTGGAGGATGCGTGCAGTAGTTTGTATTCGAGTGGCTGGAGGCTGCTTGCAGTAGTTTCTATTCGAGTGGATGGAGGATGCGTGTAGTAGTTTCTATAGGAGTATTCAGTGGGACCTTCATTTTTAGTAATCATTCAATATGGAACTCATAAAATAATCTGCAAATGTTAAATCTTTAATGCTAGACGAGAGCCAAATTATATTACATGTCAGTGACCTTACATAATCGTACCTGTTTTTCTCCAAACATGAGGTATTTTTATGGTATGCATTTTTTTTAATGTAGTAAAGATAATTTTATTGTTGGCTAGGCGTGGTCTAATAGTTCGCGTGCCGGGATGCAGAGAGAATGTCGAAGGTTTTGCACTGCGATGTCGCTTCTCACGCTCCACATTGATGTGGGTGCTTTATAAGAGACATTTCAAACCTAGATAAAGCCCTTGTGGCGCCAGATGCAACAAACTGGTGATCTTCCCCCCTGGTCAATAGTTCAAAATTAGGGACGACTATACCTGAACCCTAGGGGGTCTATGATATAGCCGTTTCGTCTACTGCCTCATAAGGTGGCATTCAGGGTGAAAATACAATTACCAATATAAAATTAAATGAATATTGATATAGACGAGTTGCAAAAACCAAACCTCTTAAAGTTTGAATTATCATAAATAAGACGTTTAACACAAGTTATGTATTTAAGTGTTAAAGACCTATTGCAGTTATAACTCCACCTAATGACAGTGCAATCTATAGGAGATGAAACAAGAGATATCTGATAGCGCTTTTAAAGTTCCACTTGGTGCTCTTACTATATTCAGATGTTTTATTTTTAATGTAAATTTATCTGCTCCGTTTGTCTAATAATTTTGGAGCTGCTTTCTAGCCTTTCTCATGGTTGTATGGTTCTGATAGACCAAGACTAAAGATGTAACCATAGGTGGTGATTTATGTGTTTACGGATGGGATTTGGATGTGTGTTGCGATATTCGAACATATGGTAAATCTAACTAAACTTCAAAAGTTATCCGAATATTGACCAAAATGGTCTAAAGATTCTCAGGCTTTTTAACTCGGAGTCACTTGAGTAGCTAGATAATTTTTAATTTCGGATGGGAATTAATGCTCTAATATATATAACACTCCTGGGTTTTTGTTTTGCTTGTTCAAACATAGTTGAACCATTATTTTATAAACAATATTAAACACGTTTACATTTCGTGATCTCGCTGGTTTAGACAACAGACAGTGGGTGGTAGTTCCCTTAGTAAGTTGTGCCATCTTCGTAAGCTCCTTAACTTCAATTTTTCATTACGGCTAAATAATAAATATACACGACTGGACACTCATCACCACTTACTTGACTTAACCCCTTTTTATTTTGACTTTGATTTCATTGCGGTTAGAAATTCATCAGTGCCCTTCTTCAAAATCGCCTACATCATTAGGCGTTAACTGGATATTTTTTAGATGCGTGTGCGACAAGTCGTCTTGCAACTGACGCCACTTGGCTAGTCAATTTCCATGTACGGCATGGGTGTAGGAGGAAGTCAGGAACATGTGGTATGAAGTTGGCGTTATGCGAAAATATAAATCTTAAACTCATAATGAATGTTAAAGTATTATATATAGGATGTCTACCTGTCTGTCTACTTTAAAAGTCTTTATATCCTGCTTCTTCTGTCTTGCTATCTTTATTTGCAGTTCACCTATGGTTCGATATATGAGTTAGTATTATTTAAGTTGCATTAATTAATCCACATCATTCTAATATTATCTAGTTAAATACAAAACGAAAACTATACAAATCTTTATTAAAATATGTACCATAACATAAAAGTATAATCTTGTGCGATCTTTAAGAGTTATTCAACATCCTAATTCCATGCACTGTTAAGTCCTTCTTCTGTGGATTACAAAATTTCTAGTCTTTGTTACCCAAATGCTGATTATTCTATATTTTTGATCACTCTTGTGATGTAAATTCTTATTATTCTATATTTCTGATCACTCTTGTGATGTAAATTCTTATTATTCTAGATTTCTGTTCATTCTTGTGATGTAAATTCTTATTATTCTAAATTTTTGTTCATTCTTGTGATGTAAATTCTTATTATTCTAGATTTCTGTTCGTTCTTTTGATGTAAATTCTTATTATTCTAGATTTTTGTTCATTCTTGTGATGTAAATTCTTATTATTCTAGATTTCTCTTCATTCTTGTGATGTAAATTTTTATTATTCTAGATTTTTGTTCATTCTTGTGATGTAAATTCTTATCATTCTAGATTTCTCTTCATTCTTGTGATGTAAATTTTTATT